AGCTTCCTCCTCATACTTTGATCTGCATATGATCAGCTATCTCTCAATACAACGTCGTCGAAAGCAAGACATAAACTGTTCAGAAGGAAGCTTCCGGAACAGCCGTTAGCAATGTTGTTCATGATGCTGGGGGATTCGTTTCAGTTTCCCATCAGGCCTATTCGTCGACAAAAGCATAAGCATTCATAGGTGATCGTCGTAACGGATAAATTTACCGGTCACCGTAAAGACAACCGAGATGACGTGGCAGCGCTTAGCTACGTAAACTGCGCCGACCTGATAGGACCAGCCGCAGACCTTTGTCGGTCAAAGGCGAAACTACTAGTGGATCAATGAAGCCGTGTGAAAAGACCATATCTAAAAAGCGAACAAACGTGCCATTTATTTTTTTCTGGCTTCAACGGCACTCAGACCAGCAACCGCGCGAAGGATACAAAGCGTTATTCAGAAAACACAAGAAGAAAGCCACCCTCTCAGACGACAGTTACAGCTGAAAAATCGTCTTATGCGCCGGTCCCCTACTACCTGCTAGGAGTAGTTTCCTAGCGGACATCCATCACCGGTCTGAAAAGTCGGTCTGCTGAAATTTAACGGCTCATACGAGATGTCAGCGGCCGTACCGTGAACAAAATAGAACCGTTCAACTGGAGCACCGGTTTTTAACATATTCAAACAGCGGTACTTGCTGCATCGCCCTCCTCCCTCTGTCCCTCATCACTTGAAAGGTAAGGTCTTACTGGTGATCGATTCATGACCTAATAATTGTCAATAAATGACAAGGGTGGCAACAAAAGTTCAAAAGTGAAAACAGGATTATTCAGAAGACGAAATGTAAAACAAAGGAAGAAGCAAAGTTTGTAACCGTTGGGACGTCGCTCTTTCTCCCTCACAATTATAGGTCATTGGTTGTGGTCGTCATTTCATGAAGTTGTTGAACTCCATTTCAATGCCATCAGTCACGTGTGCATTTTTAAGAGCAGAATTAGCAACAAAACGACAAGTACTTACTCAGCACGTAGTCTTTGAAGAGTCGTACTCATTGATCAACTTCTAAAGAAAGGAATAAAGGCAAGTGAGGACCTGAGGAACGCTCGACCTCGGATCCTCGCGGCTAGATATGGAGGAACAGACACGAGTACGGACGTACGTAATTAATGGGACCGTTATTTGAAGCAGGTCGCAAGTCAAATGATGTTCTCAAGCGAAAAACCTCATTTGTACACAAATCACAAATAAACGAGGGATAGCGAGAGTCGCACTTCAAAAACTGCTACCGATGACCGATGGCTTACTAGCTTTTCTCTGAAACAGGCATCCGGCAGTCGCTCTACTTTGAACGACTGCAACGGGCATGTACCTTGCATCAAATATCTCCTGTAGAAATCGATTGAAAAAAAATGTCATAGCTTAGTGATCGAAAGAAGAGGTTGAAGTTTTATGCTACCGTTGAAACCTCGTTACAATATAGCTCAAAGGTTGTCCAGTGGGAACATTATCAAGTTTCTTCAACAAACCTTTCAGAACGTCGTGTTCCATCGACGTATCCTCAATGAGTGAAAAGTGAACAGTGACTGATAAAGAGATGCAATGGACGATATGCATACCCATTATTTATCCTAATTCTGCCTCGACCCTCATTATATGCGCTGCTCGTGTATGCAATATCCGTTTTCTTGAGGGACTACACACAACCTGCAGCAGTAATAGAAAAAATATAACTACAGATTGGATCAAATCGGGAGAAGACCGCAAATCACTAAAAGAGGAAGAGGATGACAAATTTGCCATGAAAAGGTCCAAGGCATCACTGGTTCGGAATTAACGTATTATCCTTTCGAAAGCAAGATCATGAACACGCTTACAATGAATTTAGGAGGAACTTCCACGCCCGCCATGCTACTACTACTACGTAACAACACACGCGTAATCATATATCAAAAAACATAACAGAAAAACAGCAGAACCGCCAAGCGATCGCCACATCCAAACTCAAATTAACCATCCAGTGCCTATGGTAAATTTCACATTCTGGACCAACCTAACAGTTCTGAACCGCGACAGTCGTAAACATTTGTATCCATTTTGAAAAGAGATCTAGTGCATTTGAAGTAGCATGATCAAGTGAAATTACAAACTATAAAAATATGCTCAGCAAGCAGTACAACAGTACAATTCTGGACGCAATTATCACTGGAGTCTTGAGGTCACAGGATGGTGAAACGACAAGATTTTAGACATGCCGCACATAAGAATTAGGATAGTAAAAGTGCTGTGAGATTTATAATACCCATAGGAACCATAGGTGCAGAAATAAGTTTGCAAGTTCTTATCCGATATCCAACTATTCGCTTTTGCCGATGATCCGATATGTTCATACATTTTTGTCCGGAGTACCTACTTAAATAAAAGATTTAATTTCAACTGTTTGTCGAGGTCCAATCCAATCCAATCGATAACACCATCTACTTGATCTAGCGGTGGTTCTTTAAAATGAGTTTGTCAACTTTATGGGTGTGCGTGTCTACAACGTGGGGAGAAAGGAGGGGGAACAAATGATGCTCAGCGGACCTGGGCAGTCAGTCGATACTGAATTTGTGAAGATTCGATCCATGGCTAAATATAAATCTTCAGAATTTGTTGTTGACGAATGCTGAACAAAAATATTGTTTCGATGAACAGGGGGATACCCAAGATTCGAATTTCATTTTGTCATCGTTGTAAAGTGCAGTCATTATAAAAGTGATAATAACACAAAGGTTGATCATCATTTTTGGGTGTACCCTATTAAACAGCACAAGATTATGGAGTTACGGATGTCGTTGATCACTTGATGCAAAATAATCATTCATCGACTGAAAAAGACGCACAGAATACGGATGCTGGTTCGAACGAAACCATGGACAAAAAACGTTTCGTTCCATTTGTATCAAACCGCCTGAGAGGTAAGGTCAACGCGTAAGGAAGAAGATCAACCGCAGAGAGGGCAGTTTTACTCGATTTTCCTGTTCAAAAAAGAGACCTTGAACGAAGGCCATGAAACTTTACCGTTTGTACTCGTTTAAACAACGCATGAACAACCGCCATTTCTTTTCGGTCTATGGTTTGAAACTCAAAAACGAAACTAAAAGTACAGTTTACGAAGCGCATCGTTGCTATAAACCCGATCCGCATCAACATCAAACTTTGCGCAGTTGACCATAAGTTAAAAAATATATATTATTCCACAAAATTAATAATCATTATTCGGGCAGATAGGCAGCAATTTGATACCGATATTTGTACGTCCGTCATGTTTAATGAGAAATGAAATTAAAAAAAAGTAACGGAGCCTTTCAGTGGCGATTCCTGAGAAGCCAAGGCTGAATCAGACAACAAATAAATTGTGCATACATGCATACGTACGGCGAACTGCGTGTCCTAGTTGCGTAGTGACCGTTTGAATAAGTGATGGT